GGCGGGTGGGGACAGCGGGGCTGGCCCAGGGCCGAGGGGGAGAGGGAAAAGGTGCTGGGGAGGGGGGAAAGAATCGGCCAGCGGGGAGCGGGACAGTTCAGGGCACACACAGACCCTAAATAAAACTGTAAACACAGCGCCTTTGAGATATCCCCTCTGCTGCCAGTGCGGTTGAAAGGCCCTGCAATGTCAGAATGGAGAGAGCCTGGTGCGGTCACCATCCGGAATGAGAATATGGACACAAAATTCCAAAGATGGTGTCAGCTTTCTGAAAAGAAATGAGCCCCTTTTCAATACATGATGTGGTGGTGCAGGGTTTTATTGGATTACAGTCCATTTTTCCAATCCATATTCCCTTAACTTGCTGGTAAGAATATTGTGGGTGGCCGTATCAAAAGCTTTGCTATAGCTGGCTCTGGGGGCTTTGGGAGGACCAAAACTACCGTATTTGCATATTCATAATTTGCTTAATGAATATGCAAATATGCAAATGAATGTTACCGGTCCTCCGAAAGCTCGTGAATGGATTTACTGGTCCCCATGTCAAAAAGTTTGGGAACCCCTGATCTAAGGGTATGTCTATGCTGCTGTTGGAGGTGTGATTGCAGGCTGTATAATTATATCAGCACTAGCTTTAATCTAGGTACTGTGGTTAAAAATAACAGTGAAGCCAAGCAGCACAGACCTTTGTGGAAGTACAAACTCAAGATTCCAAGGGGCTGTGCAGCTGGATTCCATGCCACCACGTCTTCACTGCTTAGCTGTGCTAGCTAAATTAAAGATAGTACAGATGTGTCTACTCATACTGCACTGCAGAGAATGACAATGCCTTTTGGTGCTGAGATACTATAGTGATGAGTACAGAGTAAACGACAATCACCCTAATGCCCCAATTCAGCAAGAAGTAATGAAGTTGATGGGACGACTCCTGTGCTTCAAGTTAGGCACAATTGCCTTAAACACCCTGTTAAATCAAGGCTTGAATACATCAGTGCTACTATAATGAGTGCATTTTAAATGCACAGATTAAACAACCACGCCTAAGAATTAACCCAAACTTCAACAAGATGATGTTTTTCAGGTCAGATTTTCCTCTCCACTGAGGAAAGGACTGATATTTTCTTCAGCTTCCCCTGAATTCAATCAAAATAAAGCAGATCAAAGAAATCAGATTGTAATGGTGTTCAAAATATATCTGAAAACGGAAATATTATTCTGTGTGCACTTAGGGCACAATGTCTTACCTAAAATATCCAAGGATCCCTAGTCTGTACTGAATTGTTACAACCACCACATTTTCAAAGGCTGTCAGTGCTGACCCATCATATGTTGAAGCTGCACCAATCACTAATCCACCTCCATGGATCCATACCATAACCTGAATAAAAGCAGGTAGAGAATAAAAGCATGTCTACATTAGGAAATTTCAAAATAACTCCCAAAATATCTATTTCAAAATTAGTCTGAGGCAGGCTACACAGCGCAACTAAAAGTCAAATTAAGCCACGCAACTTTAGCTACGTCAATTGCATACCTTAAGTTGAAATAGCTTAAGTCGGCTTTTGATGCTGACTACACAGCAGGAAGTTAAAGAAAGAACCCTCTTCCTTCAGCTTCCCTTAATCCTCATGAAATGAGGGTTACAGGAGTCAGAGTAAGAAGTCCTCCAGTTCAACATTATTTCAAAATAAAGGCTTGTATTGTAACATCAGTTACTCCAAAATAACGCTGCTGTGTAGATGTACCCTTACTGTGGATGTGCTACCTTGACTTAGAGCCCAAGGGAGCACTGTGGGGTAATTACTTTGAATGACTCTGGGGAGTAGGTATTTCAAAATAGCAGCAGCGGAGCATCCACACTACTGCTGTTTTGAAATAACGGTTTTGAAATAAGCATTATTCTACATGGAAAGCAGGAGTTATTTCCAAATAAACAGCTCCTTTTTTTTAAAATGAGGTTGGTAGGGTGGATGCTCTGTTATTTTGAAGTAAGTGCATAAGCCCTGATCTATTTACTTGAATCTGTAACACCCCGATAAAAATTAAATAAAAGATTGCTATTTTTGCTGTGATGAGGTACCATTTTATGCTACTGCACAACACTACAATTGTGCTGGCCCAGCTGCTTGAAAGTATAGTAAAAAAAAAAGTGGTATAAAGTTTTCATACTTGAAAAAGTCTGAGAAATTATCTTTATTAAATATTCATATTATAATAATGCTCTGTTTTGTAGTGTTTACAATCTAAAGACACAGACAGACAAAGGGAAAGGAATGGGAATATAACTTGGAAGCAGAAAAATATGGGAAAAAATTGACCCAGATTTGTTGGTTACAAATTGTATGGAGCTTTGGGTTTTATTTTTTTTTAATTGGGGTAGGAGGTAGAGAAAAAAGGGGAACAAAGAAAGGGAATAGTTACCTTGGTTCTTCAATGCCAAGTGTTCTTTCAGAATACTTCTTACACTAACAGATTCTATTTTCAAAGTTTTTTTGGCTTAATTAGGAAAATAGGATGGCCTTCCAGAATCTGGCAGGCTATATCAGTCTTTTTGGATCTCAGATCTAAGAAAACTCACAGGCTGTGTCTAGACTGGCAAGTTTTTCCACAAAATCATGTGATTTTGCGGAAAAATTTGCCAGCTGTCTACACTGGCTGCTTGAATTTCCGGAAAAGCACTGACGATCTCATGTAAGATCATCAGTGCTTTTCCGGAAATACTATGCTGCTCCCGTTTGGGCAAAAGTCTTTTCCCGAAAGACTTTGCGCAAAAGGGCCAGTGTAAACAGCACAGTAGTGTTTTCCGCAAAAAAGCCCCGGTCGCGAAAATGGCGATCGGGGCTTTTTTGTGGAAAAGCGCGTCTAGATTGGCCACGGACACTTTTCCGCAAAAAGTGCTTTTGCAGAAAAGTATCCTGCCAATCTAGACGTGCTTTTCCGAAAATGCTTTTAACGGAAAAGTTTTCCGTTAAAAGCATTTTCGGAAAATCATGCCAGTGTAGACGTAGCCACATGGTATGAAATATACAGAATGGCATGAAGAATAGAATAGATGTTCAAGATATTTGGAAAGTTCTGAGTTACAACAACAGAAAATGGGAAATAAAATAAGAAACCACCAAACTGAGGCAATAGCATGCAAGTCATTCCTTTATGATGGCATAATTTTACTATTTACAGTACTTCATTCTTCTCTTTTTGGAATTTTATAAATGAAATTTTGTTACATACAATAATTATTTATCACTTCAGTAAATATTTAAATTGTAAAATATTAGAAGGCTTGTATGTTGTAAGTATTAGCAAATATTTAAAAAAATATGAACATGCAACTAAATAGATTGCTTTTGAAAATCAGACCAGCCTCTAAAACTGTACCTATAAATTTGCACACAATAGTAAAGTGCTGTGAAGTTTCTTTTATCCCCTACTGAAAACCAGGAGTAAGTTCAAATTAAGATACACAACTTCAACTATGTTCATACGGGGGAGGGATAGCTCAGGGGTTTGAGCCCTGGTCTGCTAAACCCAGGGGTGAGAACTCAATCCTTGAGAGAACCATTCGGGATCTGGGGCAAACTTGTTGGGGATGATACTTGGTCCTCCTGTGAGGGCAGGGGACTAGACTTGATGATCTCTGGAGGTCCGTTCCAGTTCTACGAGATAGGTATAATTACATAGCAGATGTCAAAGTACTTTAATTCAAATTTTGGCACCATCCACACTGCAAGAAATCAAACAGAGCACACTTTCCCTTCAACTGCCCTTACTTCTCAGAGAAGCAGGACTACTGGCATCGACAGGAGTGCCCCCTCAGTTCAAATTAGTGTGTCTTCAGTAGGCACTCTAATTTGAACCCCAGAAGATCAACTATGGCTGCTTCAATCTTATCTGTAGTGTAGACATAGCCTTATAGATTCAAATTGAGCCCTGTAATATGTAGGCACTGACCTCAAGAGAAGTTGTGCCCATTTTTACCAAGGTATAATTTGATCCATAGAGTTACACCAATTTTGCAGTAATGTTGCTTACAGGTAACATGTCTGTGTCCGAACTGGCAGGTGTGTACACGTTTAAAAACAAACAGTCTTCAGAAACTCGGAAAGGAAGTTTTTCTTTTCTGTTAGTAAATGCGTCAGATAGCTGCTGCCCAGCCACTGGATCCTGTAGGCACCTTAATCATTAAAACAAGTTAATTAATTGAAAATAATATTTAACCCAATCATAGTAACAAAACCTGTCAGATGCTCTATCCACAATAAATACAGCAAGACCCCCAGTGACAGGTTTCCAGATTGTTGATAATGGAGAATCATATCACTGTTCTCCATTTTTAACAAACATTTTCTTACCTGTTACTGACAGCCAATACTGTCATTCAGTGGAAAGGCAAATGGATTTTTGTCCATCTTATGTAACCCAATCAGCTAGTATATTATAGCTATCAATCACATCACTTAATACACTGTTGGAAGGCATGTTGTCACTACAGTGACGAAGGCAGAATAAGACCCTCAATGGAATAAACGGCCCTCAACTTTAGATATGTAACTCTGGGAAAGTGACTCATTTAGACCCTCCAATGTTTCTTATATGTATTTTTGTCCATCTTATGTAACCCAATCAGCTAGTATATTATAGCTATCAATCACATCACTTAATACACTGTTGGAAGGCATGTTGTCACTACAGTGACGAAGGCAGAATAAGACCCTCAATGGAATAAACGGCCCTCAACTTTAGATATGTAACTCTGGGAAAGTGACTCATTTAGACCCTCCAATGTTTCTTATATGT